AGGCGTCGGGCCTATAGTTTCCATAGGCGAATATTAAATGGAGAGTTCCCCAAAATGTGTAATCTGTCTTTTAGATGGCTACACAAGAATATGAGTCGAGTAGATAGAATATATTGGAGCAGCTTACAATTCCAGTTCAACTAAAAAAATTCATCGAAAAGTTTAAAGCAAGAGAAGAAAACCGAGACTACCCAGATGTGCCACCAACTCCATCAACAGGCACGTTGATCTACCCCCCCTCCCTGTTATCGCGTGCTACGCTTAGGCGGTAAAAAGGTGCAGTCCAGATCCCAGCCCAGGAAACATGCCGCTTCAGCGACGGCGTTGATCCAACCTTAAAGCTGCCACCACACATTCCCACCAAGCCCTTAACCTCCCCCTCCCTTTTTGATTGACTACAAAACTGCGTATTTGTTTCTGCATTCTTGCAGTCTTTGATGAAGGTCTTCTGTACGAGTCCGAAAGTTCAGACTAATCAACCAACTGTCCATTGTTCATGACTGCATCTTCTATGCACAAGTCACAGGTGCGAAGCTTGCGGATGCAACCCAAGGGGCGGCTACCACCTTTAGCCAGGTCAAGAAGTGCTAACCGCGTAAAATGCCCACACCGTCCGGTCAGTTACTGTGGTATGCCTGATAAACGACGGCGATCGAGCATGCATAAGTCGCAGAAGTAAAGGTGAGTAGATGGGTAATTGCTTTTTTGCCATGCACAGCCTTGAAAATAATCATTCTTTTGGCTTCGACGATGCAAAAATACTCGAATGAGCCGAGAGCAAAATGGCTATGAGAAGGGTAATCAAAGCCCGGCAATCTGATGCAAATTCGAGCAACTATCAGACTAATCCATCAGCGCCGTACAAGGCCGTCAGGCGCCAGTCGGATATGAAAGCTTGCCCAATGAAAAGGCAGAATGACGGGCCTAGTTGAATCACGTACCTCCTTTTTTACGCCGAGGATGCTCTTAAGTACGAGTGTGAAAGGTAACTTGAGTAAATCAGCCTTCGCAGATATCACTTTACCTTTCGGTTGGTATATATATAGCCGCTTCTCGAGGTTCGAACCCGCGACCGTGTTATGTAGAAGCAGTGCAGCTCCTGAGGCTCAAACAGGTGACCTTTTGGTTAGAAGTCCAACTCTCTAGCCCCACGAGCTTAACAATTTTGTCGGTTTCGATCGGGAATATCGAGATTGGTAGGTAGACGTTCACCGATCGGATACGGAACTCAGTCGTGAGGCCAGAATGGTCATTTCGGGTTTGCTGATCGTCATCAGCCAGTCATAACCAATCGCAGGCGTGCACCATCCGGTATTCTAACCTGCGACCTCGCTGTCATCGAAATCAACCCTCTATCATTGAGCCACGGGCCCGTTTTCCACTTTTTGTGATCCGGAATGTAAACTATGCTGCTGTGGCGTTGACGGATCTGGCTATGAAACATGCTCGTCCCACTGTGTTGGTGAGCGGCCTTGCTTCGAAAATTTATGGAATTTACATATGACTATTACTGCCGGATTTAAAACATCAGCCCTTATGAAGAGTTTTATAGATATGTAGTGGCTGCAAGCGCTATTTGGAAGCCATGATCAACCACACCTGACTGTCTGCCCACGTTGACACATCTTGCCTCTGGAACCAGACGCAAACGTGCACACCTTGTCTTTCCGTCCTGACCTCAATCCGTCCAGTGATTTGTCCGCGTTCGAAGACCAGCCTCATTTAGTAAGTTGGCCCCGATCCGTCTGGACACAGACTTCAGTGCGGTGTCTGCCAATAGACATCAGTCCTGAATCCGCCCCGCTAGGGAGCGGCTGCAGGCAGTGCTGTCGTTGCCGTTGACGACCCCGTACTCTCACGGTCGGACGTCTGGCAATCCAAGTCAAACTTCTTACTATTACTCATCCTTCAATCCCTCTGTACAGAATACACTCTTCTTGCCAGTCTGGCCATCCCATGACTTCTCTATCGTCGTAAGGAATCAGGTCTGGAAGATCACAGCTGTTGAGGTTAACACCATTAGCCTTAACTCTCCTCGATAGGCATGCCGTTTCAAGACTCCACGTTTCTCACCAACGAATGCCTACATACACTGAGTGTGCGCATAAAATTTGATTTGTCATTTATGTTTCCGTATTTGCGCATATCCTATCAGTAAAAGGAGAAAACTTTCATAAACCTACCCTCTATTATCTTCTTCAGGCACCGGCTGTAGTTTAGCCCGTCGTTCGGACAGGGCTCAAGAATGGCTGTGCGGTTATCGAAGGGATCGTCACAGTGTGGTTGCACGATGGATGCGCACTGGTAGCACTTTAGGTTTGGTCCATAGCCCACACTCTGCTCGGCCGCCGTCAGAGCAAGTACCAAAAGCACCGGTAGAATTGGCTTCAACAAGTCCGCCATCTGAAAAGAAAGATTGGCCTTTCAAAGCGGCATAAGGAAATTTAAAAAGTACGAGGGAGGGCTTTGCGAATACTACCAAAAAGCCTTAATAAGAGGAGTTTTAATTACGAAAATCAAGTGCAGCAACAGCCAACGAAGAGGTCTATCTTGTACCTCGCATCATAACGGGCACAGGGACGGTAGCTTGAGTGCTCAGTAGTTAATAACGCAACTAGACTTCCATGGCATCTACCTCACACCTATGTACAGTAGACGCCGTTGATCATGCAATATTTCGACATATGCGAAAG